GCTATCCTGGATTTTATCTGGCTCTAAGATCTCAGGTTCCAGGCTCATGGCTCTGAGCCTTTTTTAAAATATTATTTTATTTTTAATTTTATATATCAATCCCAGTTCTCCCTTCTTCCTCTCTTCTGGTTTCCCCACACACACCCTTCCCCTCACCCCACCCCAATCTGCTCCTCAGAGAGGGTATGGCCTCCCATGGGGAGTCAACGAAGTCTGTCCCATCACAGACCTGACCAAAGGCCTCCCTCCTGTGCCTAGGCTGGTGGCTTTGAGCTTTAACCCCAGCAGGCACTTGGCAACTGCTGTAGTCCTTGGCTCTAACAGCTGTGAGCAGCAGCAGGAGGCAGCAGTTGCTAGTGTTACTGTTCTGGAATGGGCCTAGGGTGGGGGATCTTCAATCCATGGCAGGAGTTTAATGATACAGCTGCCATGCCTACAGTGTCTGAAGTTTGGCCCTTAAAAGTTTGACACCTCCCTGGAACTCATCTGGTGACAGAGGTTGGCAGCTTCTCATCTTCCATCTTCATAAGGTACAACGTCCCCACTGCTCTGCTCCCCACTCCGTCACTCATTGGAACTCTTCAACTGTCCTCTCAGTGAGGCTATGGCACTCATTATCAATACTGCCGCCACTCCCCTCCCCACTGCCTCCTCTGTTTCTCCCTGTTACATGCTCAGCCCAAAGACAAAGTCATTGAGAGAAACCTTCTCCACCCCACTTCGCCCCCGAGACAGGGTTTCTCTGGTAGCCCTGGCTGTCCTGGTACTCACTCCACCAACCAGGCTGGCCTCTAACTCAGACATCTGCCTGCCTCTGCTTTTCAAGCACTGGGATTAAAAATGAGCACCACCACCACCACTCTGTTAAGCCTTTTTAAAATTGGACCTGGTGTTGCAAAATGAGAGGACAGAGCAGAGAGGTGTCTCCAGCTGACTCCAAAAGTAAATTAGTTATATAGTCAGAGCCCTGCATGCAAATGAAGGATTGGGTATGTACCAATCACAGGCCCTCTGCTGGTCACCAAGGTACTCCCCCTCTGGCCTGGGTGGACGTAGCTACAAGGGGCAACTGGGATTCACTAAGGCCAGTCTTTCTGGGGAGGCAGAGACAAACAGATCCTTGGGGTTCAATGTCAAGGTAACCTAGCATACTCAGTGAGTTCCAGACCAATGAGAGAACATGTCTAAAAAAAGAAAAAAAAAGTTGGGCGACACCTAAAAAATGACACCCAAGATTGTCCTCTGCCCTCTACAAACATCCAGGCACGTGGACACCCCTCCACAAAGGTTTTACTACCCAGGAGAACTAATTATCAAACCTTGTCATCTCCTGGCTGCATGTTCCCAGAAGTTTTGGGGTTTGATTTAATTTGATTTGGTTTGGTTTGGTTGAGAAAGGGTCTCGTTATGTATATATTGTGAAACTCTCAGGCTAGCCTGGAGCTCTCTATGTAGACCTGTATGGACGTAAATTCTGAGAGCCACCTGCCTGCCTCCACAGTGCTGGGGTTAAAGACACTCAGGCATGAATCTTCTATTATGTTTATCATGCTCACAAGTTGATGGGTCTTCCAGGGTATAGCTTACCCAGATAGGGCTGGGCCACATTCCAGCTGGTGGGGGGGGGTGAGCCACATCTGTTCAATGCATTTCTCACACACCCCAACTCCTTAATCCCTCCCACTCAGCGAGCAGTCACCTGGGATGCAGTTTTCTCATGGTGAGCCCAATCATAAAACATAGTTAAAGCCCCTGCTCAGCCAGAAGAGGCAGAGGCAGGCAGATCGCCATGAACTCAATGCCAGCCTAGTCTACATAGTAAGTTCCAGGAGAGCCCATGCTACGTAGACAGACCCTATCTCAAAACAAAGAAAAATATAGGTAAATAAAATTTTAAAAATGATGTCTCTGTTCACATCATGTCCACTGATACCCACGTGGAAGCAAGTTACCAGGGGTCATGCCCAGTGACAGTGGTGTGGAGCCCTGCTCTCCCCAGGGCGGGTCAAGGGAAAGGAGTAGGTGTCCACTGTTTGATCAGCAAGCCTGGAGAATGGAAACTCACGAAGCAAGGGAGTCCTGTTGGGTCTGCACTCCTGTCACTAGATTAGTTCCCAGGGGAAGAGGCTTGGGCTTCATTGTCAGCTCATGCCATCTGCATCTGGTCCACAGTTGCTCCATGGGAGCTCCACACAGCTTTGCTCAATGATTAAAAGAATACATTCTGGCCAGGCGGTGGTGGCAAATGCCTTTATTCCCAGCACTTGGGAGGCAGAAGCAGGCAGATCTCTGTGAGTTCGAGACCAACCCAGTCTACAGGATGAGTTCCAGGACAGGCTCCAAAGCTACACAGGGAAACCCTGCCTTTAAAAACCAAAATAAAATAAAATAAATAAATAAATAAATAAATTCTGTTTTATTTACATTACTTCCCAACTGAAACAAAACCAGCTTATTATGATGGTGAAGATAGATAGATAGATAGATAGATAGATAGATAGATAGATCGACAGACAGAGAGAGAGAGACTCACTATGTTGTTGTTTTAACTTTGGCACAGTGGCTGCACCTTAATCTCCTACTATTTCAGCCACAATTGTGACTTTGCAGTGACTGGACTGCATCTCATACAGCAGCCTGGCCACTCAGGTGGGAATTCTGTACCTGCAGGCACTGGCTCTGTCACTGTCACTCAAGGTAGCTTTCACTAAATCTCTATTGTTCTATTTATAAATAAAGCTTGAGATCCAAAGGCTGGAGTGAAAACCTGCTAGCTCAGAGAAGTTGAATAGCAACAAGCTAACCTCTCCTGGCTGGCGTCTCCCAAAAAACATGTCCTTCTGCTCCCCCAAAACAACAACAACAGCAAAATGTGCCATTCAAAATCCCTCTCTACTTCTTCTGGTGTATCTCTCTGTCTCTTCCAGATACCCTCTGATGCTCTATGATTACTTTCTGCTAAGTCAGCCTCCTAACCCACGGTTAATTTTATTCAATTAACACAAATTCTAACTTGAGGTTCATACTGTGATCAAATATTCCACCCCCAACACTATGTAGACCAGGCTGGCCTTGAACCCACAGAGATCTGCCTGCCTCTGCTTGCAAGTGTTGGAATTAAAGGGGAGCACCAGCATGCTGGGCCATGAATCCAACTTTACCTAGCTTGAGCCTTATCTTGTTATGAGAGGTCATCATATGAGGCCAGTGTGAGTAACTATTTGAGTTGAGACTCATTTCATATTCAGGTGGCATAAATACTTTAGATGTGCCAAAGAGCAGCTCCCCCTCATTTGGTGGCAGATGCTCTGCTCAGTACAAATGTTTCCCTCTTGGTGGTCTCATTTATACAGCTCAGCAAATGGATCCTAAAATAGCCACTCTTCTCACACTTTGAGTTTCTGAGTCAGGGAAGTCTGACTGGAAGAGAGCTCTGGTAGGATCCTAGGCTGGAAGAGAGCTCTTGTAGGATGCTAGGCCGGAAGAGAGCTCTGGTAGGGCCTTTGACACTCCTGCATTTGATGTAAATTCAGCCTTCTGCAGTTGTGTTAAACACCCATTGCCCAGTGGGAAGATCAAATGCATGGTTTGTAGCATGTAAACTTGAGTCTCTCTCACCCCAGATGTAGTCAAAGCCCCGATGCTCTAAGGCCCTCTTAATAGTGCACAGGTAATCCAGGCTTGGTGGCCCATGACTACTTTAATCCCAGCACCCAGGAGGTGGAGGCAAGGGGATCTCTGTGAGCTTGAGGTCAGTCTGGTCTACCTAGCAAGCTCCACGACAGCCAGATCTACATAGAGAAACTCTGTCTCAGAAAAATAAAATAGGGTACAGTATGGAGATATTTTGTTTATGACCTAACAAATAAACTTGCCTAAAGATCAGACTGCAAAGCTAGCCACAGCCATAGAGGCCAGGCAGTGGTGGCACACACCTTTAATCCCAGCACTCGGGAGACAGAGTCAGATGGATCTTTGTTAGTTCAAGGCCACCCTGGGCTACATGTAATTGATTCAGTCAAAAGAGAAACAGTGCTCACACAAAGGTGATCCCAGCACACCTTTAATGCCAGCACTAAGGTGATGGAGACAATGACCACACGGAAGTGAAGATCACATAGGCGCAGGCCAGGTGAATGAGCCAAGAGCTTGCATATGTGTATGTAGGAGTTGAGTGGCTGGGTGAGCAGAAAGTTCCAGGGCTCCCTACTGGGCTTGTTTCTCAGAGCTGGGCCCCTTTTGCTTCATGCCTGCCCTAATGACCCCTCAGTCAAGATCTCCTGTCTGTCTGCAGGGCACCCCCTCTGGACAGGCCCAGTCTCCTCACTGGGAGGCACCTGGCAGTCTCCCATCAACATCCAATGGAGGGACAGTGTATATGACCCACAACTGGCACCTCTCAGGGTCTCCTACGATGCTACATCTTGCAGGTACCTCTGGAACACTGGTTACTTCTTCCAGGTGGAGTTTGATGACTCCTGTGAGGAGTCAGGTGAGTCTGTACTGGGGTTTAGGGGCTGGAGCCTAGGCAGTCAACCTTTGAATCTGAAATGTTCCCATAGGCTGGAGCACTTGAATACCTGGCACCCCACAGATGGCTGTCTTCATTGAGTTATAGACCCTGTAAGGATCTGAGAATCGCTGGAGGAAGACCCCAAACTCAAATAGTATGCAACACAAGAGTGTTTATTCTGCAGAAATAGCCCGCATGCAGGGGTGGCTCACCCACATAAAATGGCAATGATGACAAAGGCATGCAGGCCCTTTTAAAGGGGACTTGGAGAATTTTAAGTATCTCTGTTCTAATTGGGCAGTTGGGGAATAGTTACATCGGGCACATGGTGATTGGATGGGGCTAGTAACAGTTTTGTCCATTGTGGGCTTTTTTGTTGGTATATATGGTCAGTAGCAGCCTTATCCTGCAACTCTGGGTCTCTCAGACTTATAAGGCCAGGTTTGAAACTGTTTAGCTGATTGGCTAAACTTGGCTGGGGGACTTTCCTGGACTCAGGCTTAGCTCATTACTTACAATGGAGTTGCTCTGTGTCCAAGATGGAGTCACATTCCAGTCCCTTTAAACCATTATGAGATGGAGCCTTTCTGGAGGAAGAGGCTCACCGGGGCAAGTATTGGGGTCATATATTATCTCTGGATCCTTCCCTTTCCTCCCTTTACTCTCGTGTTTGTGTGTGTGTGTGTGTGTGTGTGTGTGTGTGTGTGTGTGTGTGTGTGTACAGATGTGCATGTGCATATGGAGGTCAGAGGTCAATCTCATTTTTGAGACACAGGATCTCTCTCTGGCCTGAGACTCATCCAGTAGGCTAGGCTGGCTGGCCAGCAAGCCCCAGCACTACCTGTCTCCACTTTTCTTAGCACTGGGATTACAAGCTCTAGCACCATACTGTGTTTTTTATGTGGATTCTGGTGATTAGGTCCTCATGCTTGTGCAGTTGAGTCATTTCCCTAGCCCCTGGCTCCTTTCTTCAGTTTCTGCTCTTACCATCATGGAGCTGTTCCTACCATCACAGAGCTGATCTACCATCATAGAGCTAGTCTCCCATCATGGAGCTGCTCTGCCATCCTTCCCCAACACAATGGACTGTACCCTCTGGAAACTGTGAGCCAAAGTAAACCTGGAGCAAATCTTAAGTTGCTTCTGTAAGGTAATGGACCTCAGGAATCTACAAGTAACTAACACAGTGGCCGTTATTCTTTTCCATGACATCACAGACTCAGCAAAGAAGGGGAACTGGGTGGGACTGGGAGGTGACGCTCACTTGAGGGGAAGAAAGCATGTCACCAGCAGTCACCTGAGTCTTGATGCCTTGTGAGGATGAAACCAGAAATAGAATAGGGCCCCTTTCCATACCAGGGCTGAGGAAAAAAACAAACCAGTTAAGGCTGGTGAGGGCTGGCAACTGGCCTTCTGGGGCTGGACAGGGACATAAGAGCCACACAAGGAGGCTTACAGCTCTCCTTGGTGTGGTCATTGCACACTGTATCTCCGAGTACCAGTGGACAGTCTCTAATGGTGGAGTTGGGAGATAATTCCCAGTCACTCTGAGGGCCTGTGCTGGTCGGTTGTACCTACTGCCCTCTACTGTTTCCTTCCCTCTCAGTCTCATACCTCTGATTTCTCTCTACCCTCATCCCTACCCCCACCCCCACCCTCCTACCCCATCCCATCCCTCCCCTCTCTTGTTTTTCAAGACAGGGTTTCTCTGCGTAATTTTGGAGGTTGTCCTGGAACTTACTCTGTAGACCAGGCTAGCCTCGAAATCACAGAGATCAGACTGCCTCTGCCTCCCAAGTGCTGAGATTAAAGGCGTGTGCCTCCATCGCCTGGCTCCCATTCCTCTCTTAATACAAATGTCTCCAGTGGCTGAGGCTGGCCTCACCTCTTGACACGCCTGTTTCCACCTCCCCAGTGCTAGAGTTACAAGCCACTCTGGGTCTTTAATCTCAGGTTTAATCTCAGGTCTCTCTCTCAGTGAGCTGTTTGTTGCATCAGTTTAGACTTCTTTTGGTTGCTCTCAGCAGAAACTCAAACTGTCTTAAGCAAAGAATTGGGAGCTTAGTTAGCTCCAATTCAGAGAACTCCAGACACAGCAGGGTCCAGGGTGACAAGTGACTCCCTGGGTGGCTTTCCTAGGGGTAACAAAACAAGTGGCCTCAGTTTGGCACCAGCTTTCAACAGAACAGCTGGGGAAGAGGGCTCTGTCAAAGTCTGGCCACTGTTCAGTGTCCCACTGCTGGTGGCCAAGCAGGGGTGAGCCAAACACTGTAACTCCCAGCAGTGTGTAGCCAACCTAAGGGTGACCCTGACATGAAGCAAGATGTGCATGCACAAGAGAAGGAAAAGTGGCCTCCTGCAGGACCTCAGGGCATGGCTCCCAGAATGGCTCCCAGAAGTGTGAACAAGGCTAGAAAGCCAGCTGCTAGGAATTCTCACTTTCTTACCCCAGCTGCCTGTAACTCATCCATAACAAGCCCCATGGCCTTGCACTATGGACAAGCAGCAGCCTTCCACTTTGACCTCACCCTGACTCCACCCCTGGCATCACCACCTCCACTATCTGGATCAAAGGGAGGCTCCCTACCCTGCCACAGAGGGAAGGAATCATGAGTGTCTCCCGTCACATAAAGGAGCAGTATATCCTCAACACACATCCACCCAGGCCACTCTGCTTTTCCTGTGTCCTTCGTGTGGCTTCCCTCGACTGGCTCAAGTTCCCACTTTCCACAGTCTCTGTCTTCCTTCTTTCACCTCCATAGGAAATCAGGAACAGGGTGTGGAAAAATGCCGGGGGTAGGAGTGTCACCACAAAAAAAAAAAAAAAAAAAAAAAAAAAAAAAAATTCCGCCCCCCCACAGAAAAATAGGAAATGACTCTTCCATTTAAAACAAAACAAGACAACAAGCAACAAACAAACAAAAACTGGATGAAAAGGAGGAAAGGCCAGAGGTATCTCCTGAGAAGACGGTTAAGTTGGGGTGGGGGCACAGGCGTGGAAGCCATTTTTGTAGAGTATGATTATTTGGGTCTATTTTACCAAGCGAGTGCCAGTAACTGTAGTCATATGCCAGCAGGAGGACAGGACAGTTGCCCAGACAGTCAAAGAAGGCACCAGGGACTCTTACAGGAGGTAAGGGATGTGTTCTCTTCTAGGTTGTCTTTGCCAGGAGAATGAATTACAGAGGCAGATACAGCCTGTGAATGGCTGAAGCCCACTGAACTTGGGAGGCAGCAGAGAGGCTGTGGAGAGAAAAGCTGGAGACAAAGGGCAGCAGGGGCAGGGAGGGTGGGTGCCTCACAGGTCATAGCAACCAGGCTTTAAGGCTCAGCACTGTTGAGCTGCACGTGAACCAGCTCACCATGGAAGCTTCGAATTTGCAGGCAGCTCATCTTCTTTCCTGGGGTGAGGGCTGGGGTGGAGGGAGCATGAGATGGTGTTTGAGTGCAACAAACTGGGCCTTGAGCCACAGAAAGAGCAGAGCGTGTGCCCCTATACTCTGTCTATCAACAGGGGATGTGAGAGGCCAGCCCACCCTCTGATCATCTGTCTTCTCTGTTACTGAAGCTGCACACTGACTCCATGGATCTGGGAGGAGGGATTGAAAATGAGAGCACCTGGAACCCTTCCAAAGGATTCAAGCATTCAGTGTAGGACCTCTTCCCCTATTGTGGTTGCAGCCAAATGCCCTTTGCAATGCTGCCCTCCAGAGGGAACGCCAAGAAGTAGGAAGCAGACACTTGCCCAGAGCTCAAGGGAGCTTTCTTGACTACAGAGGACTTGGTCATTAAGACCGATTCAACCAGTTCAAGCGACTGTGTAGCCATGACACCCACAGAAACACAGACTGGAATGAAGACACTGTTACAGTCCTGGCATGAAAGAAGATAATCAAAAGAGATGCTTCAGCTATCAGAGTATAGAAACAATGGACCTCCAAGAATTACATTTTCCCCCAGGAATTCCACAGTGGAATGGAAAGGCTGAATCCCGGTATCGGCCAGAGGACGACCTGGCCTCCTGGGATGGTTCTGACAACTTGTGTAAGGTCCCTTGTAGAAAGATTGAACTGAGACAGTAAAGGGTCACTGGTGGGTGGGACCACACCTTGACTAGGTCTTCGTAGTTATACATACCCTTTACCCTGAACTTAACCCCAAACCTCCTCCCAGGACCCTTGAGATGGACTTGAGGGTGGTTGTCAGACCTCTGTATTTGTTCCTCTTCCCAATGTGGCTACATTGACTAAGTCTCCTCTCTCTGCTTTTCACTATTACCTGTCTCTTTAAGAAAGATATTGGGGATGAGAAGCTGAGTCTAGGTGACTGGGGCTGCCAGGACTCAGGCTTTGCCTGTAAAAATTCCAGTAACATCTCTATAGTCCACCATGCCCTCTGATTCCCTAAGTGACAACTGATAGTCGTCCCCAAAGCCAAGAAACCCCAGAGCAGCTTATTCTTGAGAGCCCAAGTCCAAGCAAGGGTGCTGCTGTTGGCCACCACAGACTAGGCTCCCAGGCCACATGTCTGAGTTTAAAGTTCACAGATTTCACTTCTGTCCACTAGGGATCACCAGTTGCAGGCCAGAGAAAGACCCTGCCTGATAGAATAAACCTAAAGGAAGTATGAAGCACCCAGAAAAATCAAGACTCCTACCTAGTCAGGTGACCTAGAGACAGACAGGTCAGGAATAAGAGCAGCAAGAAATTCTTCCTATCTCTTGTGACCAGATTGGTGCCTAGCCCAATTGTTATCAGAGAGGCTTCACCCAGCAGCTGATAGAAGCAGATGCAGAGCCACAGCCGAACACTAGGCAGAATTCAGGGGATAGTGTGCAGGGGAGAAAGGATTACAGGAGTCGGAGGGGTCAAGGACACCACAAGAAAATTCACAAATCAACTAAGCTGGGCACATAGGGGCCCACAGAGACTGAACTGACAACTAGGGAGTCTGCATGGGACTGACCCAGGCACTCTGCA